GCAGCCCAAAGAGCAGAAGAGAGGAGAGCTCTCTGCTTAGTTTTCCTAGGATGGTAATAACATGAACAACTGAAAGCCAGCAGATAAATCTTGCTTCGGGCTTCTTGTTCTAATACTATTTTTTTTCACTGCATAATCAGTCACACCAGCTTATCGTCTGCTTGCTACCATTCACATCCAAGTACCCGTCCAACCAAAGGAAAACTAGTTTCAAGTATCTTCCTTTTTTTTTTTGGGGAAAATGGACTGACCATATTTGTTTTTGATTACTGGTCTTTGAACTTATTTTATTTAAGTGCGGTCATCCTCTGAATATATCACTCCGTAAATATGTCACAGTAGGGTTTCATGTTTACTGTTTCTCAATGACTTCCAGATCAAATGTATTCGGGTTGAAACCAAAAAGTTGGTACGTGTGCTTGGTTTTGGGCTGGGGTTTGTTTTGTTTCGTTTTAGGCAGGGGGTGGGGGAATGGAGACGGAAGAAGGTTAACCAGCACTACGCTGTCAGCCATGCCTCTGGAAGCTCGGCTGGCTCATGCATCCTCCCCATCACTGGTAACAAAGATTTAGTTGTTAGATTTCACTAAGAACTCCCTTTACGATGTGAGAGACAGGACAGCATACAGTTTGCTCCCCAGAGCCCTGCTGGTGCTCCACTGGCAAAAGATTGAAAAGTAATGACAGACTTACTCTCGCAAGCGAAACATGCATACGAAAGTGGTAATACACATAGGGAACAGATCTGTTGACTAAGAACATGCCATTTTCACATAGTCACTTTTCTGACCATAACCGCACTTTATACTCCAGACATGGTTCTGTTTTCCTCTGCTGTGGCACAGCAGATGTGAACCATTTAAAACCTTTTAACGGGACCCAACCTAGGGCTAAATGGCAAAAGCCTGACAAAATAATACTTAAGTTTACATCCCTGGCATTTTGAATGTTCTGTGACAGGGTCAAAAATCTTGATAAATCAAAATTCTCACACTGAAAAAAACAAACCCAAAACCAACCAACAACACAGAGCCATGACTCATTGAATGGAAAGAGAGGCAGATGTCTCCACGAAGTCCTGTTTTGAACAATAAAAGTTTTAAAGATGCAATTTAGAAAATACCTCAGCTTTCCAGCTGTATTTGCCCACCACAATACAGTGGAGGAGGAGACAATATACAGGGTTTGGTTTCCGGGAAATCTTAGCTGCCTCCCTGCTGATATGCATGTTTCTTCAGTCTTTGGTTCAGGGTGGAAACTACCTCTCCTTTAAAGTGTTATGTATTATATTTTGCTTATGAAGGGAGGCAGTGAAACATGGAACACCTCGGAAGATGGCTGCATCCTGCTGTGGCAAATATTCCAAACAGGCTTCTACAGGTGAAGGCAACTGGCATGAGAAGAAAGTCCCTCTATGTGCTAAAAATACAAGAGACCTACCAGCCTCTTTCTTGGCTTAGCAGAATACACTGCTAATACCCCCGGTTAGACTGACTGTAAGAGTTACTCATATTTTTAAAGGTAATAATCCCATATTCCCATTTTACAACACACCCTGAAGACATGCAACAAGTCAAACTATCCCCATTTTGCAACAGTTTCTTGGCATGAACCATGTAGTAATTAAAGAACTTTAAATGGGAACGACTGCCACAATTTGCAGGCTCCCTTAATCCATCTATAGTATCTGCAGCACCTCCAGGTGCTTGTCTTGTTCTCATAATACAAGCTCAACAGTGCCATGGCAGGGCCTGAGGGGACATCTGAAGATGATGAGGATTTAGGCACGCCAGCATGAAAACTTGGCTGGTGTTTGGCTTTGTTGTTGTTGTTTTGTTTATTTATCTATCCCTTCTTTTACCAGGAAATATCACACGGACAAATGAAGTCTTCTTTTGCAAAGACATCCAGGCCAGCTAGCCCTAAATGATCTTAACACAAAATCAATTAAAACAAAAACATTTAAACACTATAATTCTAAACATGGCCTTCCGCTCCATACAGGCCAACCTACAGCAATTATAGTGTAACAAATTAGTGTGAGATACATACTAACAAAGTGAAAGCCTGATTTTTGCCAGGACAAGGGCAAAGCTTGCTTAAATATTTTGAAACTGCAGTCTTGAAATGATCAATTATCAACAGACAGCTGCATGGAAGTGGCTTTTGTTTGGTTTGTTTTTAATGAAATTTAGCCCTTCGTTCCTGAACTTGGAGCTGGTAACTACCATTTGTTCGGTTCCGACTTGAGCAACCAAAACACTTTACTTTCGAATTTCCAAGTTCTCAGTCTGTCCCACTGCCCGATTTTCTCTTCCCTCTAAGCACTCATGTCAAGCCTTTCAATGGGGAAAGCGTGCAATACCCTCCTGAACTAATCTTGTTTATCAGTTTTATGAAGATGGAAAAATCCAAACAGCGTTATAAACTGCCCTATGAATACAAAATTCAATGTGTGTTTTGTACTGATACAATACTTTTTTGCCTGTTCCAAGGAGAAACATCACCACACCATAATACCTGGACTCGAAGTATTCGACAGACCTTTTTAAAATCAAATATCACTCTGCAGAGGTGCATAAGCATGGTGTGGAAAGCACATACAATTAAGAATTACCTACAGCTGGTTTTCCAGCTCATTTGCACTTTTGCCATGTTAGTGGCACAGTTCTCCACACTGGTTTGCTGCCCATCAAAGTGCACTCAAGTATGAAATAAAACACCCTCCTGGAGGGATGCTGCTTCATAGAGTTTATACCTCTGCTGAGAAACATACATGAGCTGTAATAGCTGTTGTTTAATATTAGTGTTTATCCCTGTAGTGGTATACGCTGTCTCTGCCCTTCCACCTCTACAGAATATGAACACAGCCAGATTCACCAATGATCCATCTGACTGACACAAGCCTCAGCCCATCTTTCAGACTCTCAGAGGTTCACCCTGCCTCTCTCTGTCCAGCTCTCTAAGGTGACACTGGTGCTGCTTGGACCCCCTTCCCTATATTGAGACTGTGACTGCTCTTGGAGGAATCTAAAAAGCCAGAGCAGTCATGATGCTGGGCCAAGCACTCCTGTTTGCAGAGACCTTTACAAGAAGGACGGTACAAGTCGGAGAATTATGCACTTAAAGTCAATAGCCTTCACTCAACTATTTAATGTTTATTTGTTTTACACCAGCAGCAATATGCAATTCCACAAAAATACATTTCTGATATTATTTATCTGCTGAGTCTGCCCCTATCTCATTTGAAGCAACAGATAAAGCAAATGGCAGCAATTTAACCTTCCTCAGCATACAAACACTGTTTATCTTATCATGTAAATTATGAAAATAGGCCTAGAGGATTTGGCACAGGAAACCTAACACACAATAGGTTAAATAAAGCTTTAGGAGAAAATACCAAGCAGTCTATCATTTAGACAAAGGGGTGAAGTGTTGGACAACATGTATTTGAACTACCAGTGTCCATTCTGAGACTAACAGAAGCTTTATAATCATTCATTGCTGTCTTACTCAGACATTGACTGAATACAGAAATCTGAAATCCTGAAACTGCCTGAAATCCTGTTTTATTTTTGGCACTCAATATCTCTTTCTTTTAATAAGGGATACGTGAGTTAATTCATTGTGCACATTTTTCAAACCCTCTGACACCACTAGTTTGAATAAAGTGTTACTGGTTTCTAATTACAATCAAAAGAGCATACAAAAAAATGGGACAATGAAGACATCATGGAAGGAGAGGGGAAAAAAAATAATTTAAAATAAATCAAAGCACAAAGGCACAGTGGATAGCTGTGCTTTCCCTAAGAGGAACGTAGGGTAAAACAGGTGGAGAGAGGGAGTGAGAACAATTCCTGTGAGAGTAGAACTGAAGAGAGATCCATATCATCCACTTGTGACTGAGTCAGCATATGGCCCTTGATTAAATTCCTAAAATACTACTGACAACACTGTACTTGTTGCTTGCACTGCTATTATGACAAACAGTCCTGGCATGAACCATGACTATGAGGCCCACCTTTGAACCTAACATGTCTTAAACAAAGTTACAGTACACCTTGCAGGCACTTAACACACATTCTCCACCTTATTTTCCAAATCTGCTGCCTGAACATGTGTAGCCTTACAAAAGGGCAGCTGCAAGCTTCGCAGCCATGTAGGCAACACCGAATTTTGCCATCCCTTGGGTGAAGAAAGAATCAGGGCAGAAATACCTCAAGGAACCAGCTAGACCTGGAGTCACCAGCAGCTGGGACACACGGCTTCCCAAGACCAAGAGCAGGCAGCTGACTCTCTTGCACAGACCTACACCATTCAGTAAGTACAGGGAACAACTCATCACCTTCTTGCTGCCTTCAGGAGTCTGCTTTCCTTAAATTAGTGACTACCTTGCTTGAGCCTAAAGTCCTACCATGTATTTGCTCTAAGAACTGAGGCATCAAGTACTGGCACCTGAATGTGGTTTGTATTATATTTAGTGAATACCATCTCAGAGCAAAAAGCCTCCAAAACCATTGAGACCTTCAAATGTAAGAAAATCCCCTGTAGCCAAAGCCAGAGGAACAGAGAGAAAAAGGGGAAGACATGTCTTCCAGGCAGGACCCATGCTCGCCAAGCAAAGGGCACCTCTAAGCTTCAGTCAGTGCAATTATGTTCGCTGCTACTGCTGCAAGATTCCCACAGGACACTGCCTCTGTATTGCGGGATTGCTGCAGTAGCCTGGCTGCAACAGGCAGCTGTGAATAAGCAGCCCATGGTGCAGAGATGGCCCAACAGATAAAACACTCCCTTTGTATAGGTTAGAGCACACTGACCAGCTGAGGGGGCCAAGAAGCTGTCAATGTTATCAGCAGGTGTACCGCACACAACAGGTAGGGATCTGAAACCACGGACAGCTAACTTTGCTTCCTGCCAGACGTTTGTTTTGCAATACGACAAATGAAAACAGGCCTTTATATTGCAAAGAAAATGAAAAGCATGATGGTCAAATCACTTTACCTTAGAGCTGCTGTAGGAGAGCGGAGGTCAGAGCAGTGAGGCTACTGCAAAGGGGGTTTTCAGTTGTCTCGAGGTGATCCATGCCAAGATGCAGAAGGGGGCATGATGGACACTTCAGGAGGCTTCATGTTAATCTGCAGAAAAATAAAGCAGGCTGATGAGTGGAAAGCTTCTCGTGGTATCCCTATACCTGGATAAGTATTCCTTAGAAAATGCAAAATGGGAAATGGAATGGCCTGTAGTTAACACAGCCTCAGTACTCCCGTACACACTAGGGTTTTGATGTGGTACTGACTTAGAGGAAACCATTGCCATAAACTCATTTCACTGATGACTAAACAAAGAGGAGATTATCATGATTTCATTTGATGTTGGTAATTAAAGGTTTTGAAAAATAAAATGAAAGACAACCCTCCCTTGCAGTCTGGAGACAAAGTAAAGGCATATATAGTTTTACAACATATATACTTAAGCTGGCAAGACTTCATCTCCTAAGCCTTTATTTCATATATAATTTATGTAGATATAGTGTACTGTGGGTTTTTTGGTATAGCTAATGGTTGGGCAGAGAGCTCTTCAAATCTAGTAAAACAAAAGGAAACAAAAGGGACACCATGTGCAAAATCCACAGTCCACACTTAACCCTTTGGTCCTGTACCCTCCCCCCTGCAATTTAATCTGTAACTGTTAATTATTATCTGAAAGAGCCAGCAAACAGTTAATTTTTTAATGGCAGTTGACAGAAGCACATCCAATACAGTACACCTATGGAGACATATAAAAAAGATTGCACACGCTTAGGGGCAGGGGCGGCATGTGAAAAGAAAAAGCAATATTGTCTACTTTTCCATAGCTTGTAAAATAGCCTAAGTAATTATGATATGTATTTATTTTATTTAAAAGGAGAGCCATTTTTGTTTTGATTTCTGTGCTCCCCCCTTATTACTGCTGTCTCTGAAACTCCACAGACACTGCATTTCTTTTCCTGACTGGACATTTCTGAAATAGTACCACTATCAGGTAGATCAGATTGTTGGCAAAAGCTTTGGCACCAAAGAGACTCAACAAATAAATTTCATCACGCTGACCCTGTACTAAACAGCAACTTTATGTGGATAACCTCATGGGAATGGAAGTTGAGAAAGAGCTATTTCAAGGCCGCCAATAACTTAATCTTTGTTCAGTTCATAATGCAAAGCCATTTCTGTTTCCTTTGCTCACTGTACTAAAGAGTTTTTGGGATACTGTAATCCTCATAAGGTGGGGAGGGCAATGTGGGGGGTAGGGGCTTGCGGGAGGGAGAGGAGATCCCACTCAAATTATGCCCCATTTAAAAGAAAACCCCAACAACCTAAAAATAAATAAAAAGCCAAGTTTTTCATCTTGGAAATTCTCACCCTCAGTTACGTGAGTGCAAAAAGTAACTTTTATTTGAAGAACTAACACTCACTTCTTTGTTAAGAAAACTTAGGGCACCACCCAGCAGACATGAAGGCTCCTATGTTATCAGCAAACTATTTCCTGGGTATATGTTCACCCTTTCCATGCAGCTTGCTTATTTTTTCAACAGAAAGGAAAAAAAAAAAAAAAGGAAAGAAAGAAAGAAAGAAAAGGCAGCGCAAACATAAGTTCTGTAACACTGCTGAATAATCCGTGTTCTGCTGCAACAACTGCTATATTGATGTAATGGAAATTTCAGAGGTGCCCAGCTTTGCAGAAACAAAACTGGAAAAGTGCCAAGGGGAACCCTAAGTGCAGCCCCATGTGCTCTTTCCAAGGGCAAAGGGCTCTGCACAGTGCTGCTGCCTGCCATCACCTGAGAAGAGGCCATAAGAGGCAGAAATAACATGTGCAGCTGAGCAAAATAACTGGTGGAAGAATATGAACCCCTTTTCCCTGTTAATGGTTAACATAACTCCTTACCCACAAACATTAACACCAGCTACTCTGCTAATTTAGCATTGCAAGCTTAAGTTCTGTGGAGGAATAAGCTTGAATGATTATGCTCTCTGTCCATCTGCCTTTCCTCCCAGTATTGAACCTTTAGTCTGAAGTATATTTGACAGGAGTGGAAGAAGGTAGAACTCACAAAAATCACAGAATCGAACAATCAAACAATGATTTGGGTTGGAAGGGACCTTAAACCTCATCCAGTTCCAACCCCCTGCCATGGGCAGGGACACCTTCCACCAGAGCAGGTTGCTCCAAGCCCCATCCAACCTGGCCTTGAACACTGCCAGGGATGGGGCAGCCACAGCTTCTCTGGGCACCCTGTGCCAGTGCCTCAGCACCCTCACAAGGAAGAATTTCTTCCCAATGTCTGTTCTCAACCTCCCCTCTGTCAGTTTAAAAGCATTCCCTCGTGTCCTGTCACTACAGCCTCCTGTAAAAAGCCCCTCTCCAGGTCTCCTGCAGTCCCTTTAGGCACTAGGAGCTGCTCTTAGGTCTCCCCTTAAGGAGCCTTCTCTTATTCAGGCTGAACCAGCCCAGCTCTCTCAGCCTGGCTCAAGAGCACAGGTTCCCATAAATGTCCAGAAAGCTGAGGATGAGAGAAGAGCAGGAAGAGAGTCTGGTCATGCCTCCATAGCAGAGACACCCACAGCAGCTCTTTCTTGCATGCCCTTCTGTGTCCATGAGTCATAAACCAGAGGACCCTGCAGCACAGCACCCGATGCCTCGCACCCACCACAAGGATGCTGAAGAGATGGCAGAAGGAAAGGATATATAGAGAGCAGCTCTGGGGTGTGTGCAAAGGAAACAGGATATACTGTGGGAGATCCCATCAGGATCACAGGGGAAGGGAGCCAGGTTATTGTTGTTGGCAGCTAGGGCAACACATAGGTGTCCTTAGTGCCACAGTTTATAGAACAAATTATCCTCTTACCCTGTTCTCCTCCAAGAAACATCTTTGTATGAGCAGGAGGAATGGTGGGAAAGGAAGATTATACAACATCCAAAATCAATAGCAGACATTACGTTCAGGAAAGTATTCTTTCCTGCAATCCTGAGAGTCACCTCAAGTAACACACCAGACAGCGATAAGGCAAAAACTTAAACCCAGAAGAACAGAGATGCTGGGCCCTGTAATAACACCACATGGAGCAGGATGGAGCAGGCTTCACTGCCCAGCGTGGCTGTACAATGCCTGTCTGAAGGCTGCAATGCTCAGGGAACTTATGTCCCCTCAGCCCCAGAATCATGGATCACTGCCTGCACAACACTGCCGAGCTGCATAACCCAACAGCTTGCAATAGAGTCCCCCCTCCACATTCCTGCACGTGAATCTCATTGTTTCCCAGGAAAGTGAAGTGGAAACCTAGTATCTGCCGCGAGCAGGACACTGCCATTGTCTCCGCTGACTTGAGATTCAGCTTTGTGGGGTGACAGTAACCCACAGTCTATGGATTTCACAGGTTTAACTAGCAGCGGCCAGGCAAAGCTTTGTTATTGCATCAATCCAGAGCTTTAAGCACACCTCTGCATTTCACCATGCTTTGTCCTCGAGAAAGTCAGGTGTCCATAGCCAGTGCACCCAGACATTTAACCAGACAACAGGTCCAAACTCAAGAAAAACAAAGGGCTGTTGTGATGGAATAAATGCTTCCCCCCCACAGCCAGCATTTGTAGTTCCACTCTGTCTCTCAGTGCATGACCCTGGGGAGGTGTCTAGCCCAAAAACGAAGAGAGCCTGCAAATGCCAAGTTAGTTTTACTTGCACATTTAGCAAAATCGCCCAGGCATCTTGCCATGGTAAAGTAAAGTAGCACTACAAAACAAAACCAGAGTTTATCTTCTGGAAGCATTTTGCACCCTCGACAATGCCTTTGTATTTCAGGGCCTTTTAAACCAGCCTTGTCAGGCTAGAAAGACCTCTGCACAGTCAAGAAAACACTGTCTCATAAGACCCTGAGATATGACAAGGCTGCAAATCCCAGGTTTTAAAGAAACAAGCACAGCAAACAGAGCACCAAACAAAACAAGTGAAAGAGCAGCAGATCGGGATCAGATGATGAGCTATGAGGTAAGATGGCAATGGTTTACATTTTTTAAGTATCAGGGAAAACAGTCAACTGCAGAAAAGATTTTCATGTTTGTTTTTCAGTACCCCCCCCCCCAAGGGGAGTTCGTGGGGTTTTTGTCTTTCCACTTTGGCTGCTCTAGGCAAGGATTTTCCCCTCAACTGTTTACTCTTTCAGCCAGTCTTCAGCAAAATGTCAGCAAACAATTGTCATTTGGTATCTGTAAAAGATAATGCAGGTGGAAAGGGGAATACTGAAATCCAATACCTCCCTGTAAAAACCTACTGTACTATCAACACCAGATAAACTTCCTTTTCTCTGCTAGAAACCTGACCTTGTAAATACACTTACCAGGATAATGGTAAGGGAATAACTTACCCAAACAAGCTGGATAGGTATCAGTAGGTCTTCCTCTCAGAAGACAGAGGTTTTCTGGAAAGTAAATACCTGACCCAACTTTGCAACAGCACCTTAGGAAAGCTTTCCTCTGGAGCTCAGTATGAAATGGGTGATGTTGAAAGACACATCCACTAAAAAGCAAAATACTACAACACTGTACGCTTGCAGTGCATGCTTGTATTTCAGTTAACTAGTCAACTGAGCTCTTGGTCACCAGACCTGAATCTGCAAATCCCCTGAAAAGAAAGGAGGTGCTTTTGAAGCAAACTGTAGTAATCTAACCCAGCTCATGCGGCCCGTGTGCAACTTTCACTAATACAGTGTCAACAGCACTTCACAAATATCTCATAACTAAAGTGATGGGCTAACATCTACCAGGTTTTTGTTGGTGGTGGTTTGTTTTTTCACAATACCTCTTGGAAGCTTGCTGAGGAAAGAATTATCTTCAAAAGACAATTTTTTAAATTCACCTCAATCACATGAAGTCACAAGGAATCATCTGCATTAGAGGGAAAAGCAGGATTTGGTCCTGAATGACTCAACTAAACTCCGTTGTGACAACCTACATTCTACGTGCGATTCAAATTGGGCACTACTGCCGTGTTGTTTCAACAGAGGCTATTCTACATCTTGGAAACGTCTGGAGTGCAGCAATATCACTAGTAGACAGCTTCTTTTTCGACAC